GTAAAGTTGTATATTCGATTGTTTATTTCTTTTTTTTTTATATTGAATTAGAGTTATTCGAAACGTTTTCCCATTTCTCACAATCATTAGGCAAAAAGATTTTTCACCACGCAATCCAAGTGCAGTGCTTCAAATAGCATATATTCATAATTGTGCTAAATTATGCAACCTGCATATAGATAACGGTAATATAGTAAATATGCAATGTTCTGATGGATTTGTACCATTTGGAGGTCATCTTGAAATTCCGAATGGCAAAAAGCGGAACTTACGTTATTGATTACGTATTAAATGTATTTGTTTTATTATTTTTTCAAAGTTTATTTTATTCATAAATATCTGCTGCATAAATGATTAAAATAAATAATAATAAAAAACGTTTCATTAAAAAGGCAATCTTATCAGTAAGCAATTTCGTGTTCACGCGTTAATTAATTAAAGAAATGCGATAACATGGGATAATTTATTAGAGTATTTTTAGCTAAATGATTTTTTTTAAGCTTTTTTAAGATAATTTGCTTATCGAAATCACATATTTATTGATTCATTTATTGATTTGGATCACATTTTCCTGTAGAACATTAATTAGCGAGTGTGATGTATCGTTAACAATTAAAAGTCCAATTGCCTAATTTTGTGTATAAATCAGTTTATATTTTAAATATTATACTTATTTATGCATTGAATAAATTTAAGTATCTTTGTGCTACCAAAGAAAGTTTAATTTTGTGTTGCTAAAGAAATCTTTCTAATTGGAAACATTTTTGTCAATTTATTAAGAATATTATGGATGAATTTTAATATACATTCTTTGAATTATCGATAAGTATGATTTATAGATATTATTGATAAGCTTACAAGTTATAAATACTTTTGTTTCTCTGCACAACGTTTCCTACAATAACATTTTGTGCGCTTTAATGATGTCTTTGCATACTTTGTTATAAAGAAATAATCTATCGTCACAAATGTAATATGGACTGTTGTAAAAATTAAGCTTAATTTTATTTTAAATTATTATGTAATAATTATTTCGAATCGTTCTTATCAAATAAAAATAGAATGACCGGTTTAATAAATTAAGAAAACGGGAATAGACATTTCGAATAACACTAACAATTAAGATAAAAGTTTCGAATAACTTTAATAATTAGGAAATGGGAAAACGTTTCGAATAACTCTAATTCAATATAAAAAAAAAAGAAATAAACAATCGAATATACAACTTTAC